TTTAGTTTCTGAATGAATCTGTGTTTTGAACGAATCGTGTGAACCAATGATTCAAAGACTCATTCATAAAGAGAGCCATTTACTTAATTCCTGAATGAATCAGCCGTTGGAATGAATGAATGACTCATAAAGACATTTACCGCCACCTGCTGGCAGATTTAGTTTCTTGTTTAGAGTATCATTTCATAATAATAATAATAATAAAAACATTAAAGGGATGGCTCACCCAAAAAATTTAAATTCTGTCATCGTTCACTCACCCTCATGTCGTTTCAAACCTTTCTTTTGTGGAACATAAAAGAAGGTATTTTGAAGACTGTTGGAAACAAAGCCGTTTTAGTTACCAATGACTTTCATTGTATGAACAAAAAATACTGAGATGTTTCTCAAATTATTTTCTTTCATGTTCCATAGTTTATGTTACGCTGTTGTAGCCTAAAAGTTTATGTGTAATAAATTTTATGTTGAATCAAAATATTTATTTCTAAAGCTACTATTTGTAACGTCTACTTGATATTTTCTCATTTAACACAAAAATAGCTTTAAATAATCTTTTGTGGGTATTTTCAGTCAAATTTATTTTGCAATTAGATTAATTAATCGACCGACAGCCCTAATATATATACTCTATATATATATATACCTGAATCAGTATGTAAATTAAATGTTACTTTCCCTGCGAAAGAAAAAAAAAATACTGATGCAGAATGCACATTAACAATATTTAAATTTTTGGATTTTTATATAAAATTCTGGTCAACCAAATACAAATCTTCCATAGACTTGCATTAAAAGAGCAGAACATGCCAGACAGCAACGGTTGCTATGATAGTATTAGTAATGCTAATGTTTAAAGGCAGGTCAATTCCCCAGTGTTTACCTCTACCATAAATATAAACATGCTAAATATATATCAATTACAAAAATCACTTTATTACAGTTTATTTACAGCATTTTAAGAGAAAAAGTCACCAAGAGATACAAATATACAACTAACTCTAGAAAAGCATTAAATCTTTCACATCATAAACATCTAATTGCGCAGGTGATCTTAAAATCTTAAAAATTTGACATGTCCTGATGCAAAGGTAAATAACATTTAGAATTGCTGTGCAAAAGGCTGGATCAAATAAGTGTCCATTAATATTTTAGTATGCATCATGATTGTCAAACCTCACATTTGTTAAGCTGCCCATGAGAACCACTTGAGTGTTTCAGTTTAAAAATGGCATTATTTTCACAGTTCAATTACATGGTTTAATCATCTCAATGTTAATCAGTACAGTTCCAAATAGTGAAAAGAATATATTATTAATCAAGTGGTAAAAGACATACTTTTATCTTTCATTTCAAATCATTCGTTGTGTATTTTTGGTACAAACCAAATAGGAAACTACATAATATAAAGTTGTTTAAAAACGGATTAAAAAAGTACTTATGGCATTAAAATCTCTTTTTATGTAGGACGGTGTTTTGGGGCAGGAGGTGTTTGGCTTGTGCGAGGATCAGTGTGTGTTTATCTCAGCAGCTGCACTAATACCAGTAGCACCAGAGTCCTGATGAGCACCATGACCCGGTCAGCCCAGATGTGACCCGATGCGCTCTTGAGCTGGACTCCTCCAACATGGTTCTGGATGAAGTTAGTGAAGCTGGATACTTTGGCATAGACTCCTGGTCGGTTTGGTTTAGCACAGCCGAGACCGAAGCTCACAATTCCAGCTTGCACCCAACTTCCGTCACTGATCTGACACACCAGAGGCCCGCCAGAGTCGCCCTGAAAAAGCACACATGCAGAAATATATAAGAACAGAAGGGCATCAGAAGGTCCATTGGTATTTTTATTTAAAAAATCATATGTTTTCCTCAAGCAATGCTCTCCTCACCTGGCAGGAGTCTTTGCCTCCTTGTTGGAATCCAGCGCACATCATGTCATGGCGGATGTCAATGTTCTCTGTGGGGTTTATCAGAAACATATCCTGACAAGTCTTTGAGTCAATGATTGGCACTTGGACTTCCTGCAACGCCCCAACGCCCTGCAGAGCAACTGAACAAGACATGAGAAACAACAAGATGAGTGCTTTTGTGTCTTTGTACACCAGGGGTCACCAGACTCTGTCCTGGAGGGCCGGTGTCCTGCAGAGTTTAGCTCCAAGCCTCCAACCCCAATTAAACACACCTGAACCAGCTAATCAAGGTCTTACTAGGTATACTTGAAACTTGCAGGCAGGTGTGTTGAGGCAAGTTGGAGCTAAACTCTGCAGGACACCGGCCCTCCAGGATCAAGTTTGGTGACCCCTGTTGTACACACTGAAGGAACAAGAATTTCTTTATGCACTGCTTGTAGCAATTGCCAATGTTTCACACAATATACATACACTACCAATCAAAAGTTTGCAATAATTACAATATTTTTTTTAAAGAAATCTCTTCTGCTCACCAATGCTGCATTGTTTGATCTAAATTACAGTAAAAACAGTAGTATTGCGAAATATTATTACTAGTGCTGTCAAACGATTAAATCGCATCCAAAATAAACGTTTTTTACATAATAATAGTAGTTTACATAATAGTGTTTACATAATATATGTATGTGTACTGTGTTTATTTATT